CCGCAGAGGCGAAAGCGTCGCGTTCTGTTCACTCAGCAGCAGGTTCACGAGCTCGAGAGGCGGTTCAAGCAGCAGAAATACCTGAGCGCGCCTGAACGGGAACACCTAGCCGCTCTGATTCACCTTACGCCCACTCAGGTACGTGTCAAATGATTCATCCTCTTGATTAATCTCCTCCTTGTTGATACCCTTGCAGATCCCCTCAGATATTTATTTATCTCGTTACCGAAGTTTCGTATGGGCATACTCACCGATTTCTTGAGAGAATTTCTTGTAGAAATTTTTATTATTTCTTGAATTAAAAGGTTAGGCTAGGAGATGATTTGTAAAGAAAGGACGTTGAAAGTGAATCCTGAATCCTCTTCTCTCTCTTAATTAAAAATGGTATATCATGTTTGATCTAAAAAAAAAAAAAGAAAAAAGGAAATTCAAATTCTCGTTCTTAAATACCTATATTAATAAATTATCATTTTAACACGGCTAATTGGAACGGCAAACGCGTCTCTCGATCTCTCGATCAACTCGGTCCAACTATTTTTGCTACAGAATACGATGCTTGAAATCGTGCGCGCACGCTTACATCCTCTGCACACGTACACGATGAGGATTAATTTCTGAGAGGAGATTAATTGCAGGGAGCAGGTGGTGGGTGTACGCGTGGGTGTATCTACGTCTCTCGGCCAATCGGATCGATCGACCTCAGGGGCGTTGGTTGCGTCGGAGTTGTTAGCCGGAAATGCCGAGGCGACTGCCGACGAATAGACATTCGATTACCGAATCAACTTTTAAATGCTTGAAAAATATTCCATATTAATATCCAACTGCTAGATCGAACTGTTAGTTGATCTCAGGTTAAAAATGCTGAATATATATAGTGTTATATATATGCTTGAAAAATTCGATATTAATATCCAACTGTTAGATTAAACTGTTAGTTGATCTCAGGTTCAAATGCTGAATATATATATGCTTGAAAAATCTTCGATATTAATATCCAACTGCTAGATCAAACTGTTACTTGATCTCAGGTTAAAAATGTTGAATATATATATATATATGCTTGAAAAATTTTCGATATTAATATCCAACTGTTAAATCGAACTGTTAGTTGATCTTAGGTTAAAAATGCTGAATATATACATATATATATATATATTAATATCCAACTGTTAGATCGAACTGTTAGTTGATCTTAAAAATTTATTAAAAATGCTGAATATATATATGCTTGAAAAATCTTCGATATTAATATCCAATTGTTAGATCGAACTGTTACTTGATCTCAGGTTAAAAATGTTGAATATATATACAGTGTCATTTTCTTTGTTTCTTCTAATAGTATAATTGCCATTTTGTTTTGCCAGGTATACGAAATATCGTGTTTCATTGGTTATTAATTTTGAGAAAGGCGGATATTGGGTTCAGATTTTTTGATTGACGTTGAAACGTGTTAAAGTTGTACCGTTTAACACGTTCTCGCAACTCTAGTGGTGAAAGTGTTAAGCAAATCGTAGAGGACGATGGCAATGCGTCGAAAATAGTCCTCAAAGAGGTGTGTTTGTTCAAAGCAGGAGAGATGGAATTCGAGCAGGTAGAATCGTCAGTTGAAGAGTACGTTCCGGCTGGACGACATGTAAATATTGTTTTTGGAACCCGAAATTTTTCCCTTGTTGCCGGCTCTCCATCGGCCATTATTAATAATACGACGTAGCCGTATTTCTTGAAATTCTGTGCAGATAAATTGCTTTAAATTACAAAATTTATAAATCCTTATACGTCGATAGAATTTATAATTTTAAAATATTTCGTATTATCTATTGCTTCTATTCTAATGCTTCGTACACACGTTAAGTTGATTTAGACAATTCGAGAGAGAATCGTTTCGGCGGTGATCATTTAAAGCGGTCTGGTCAGAATCAAATTTTAACGAGCAATCTTCATTGGGCAGACAGGTCTGCTCGGCACGATGTGGCAGTCTGGCAACAATAAATAATTGTTGCGCAGCTCATTGGTTGCATCCTGGTCGCTCGTCCCCTCGTTTAGTTTGTCGTTTCGTCTACCGCGCGTCTCTCGGCTCACAAACCGCTCTCTCCATCCATCATACGCGCTCAATTCGATCTACAATTCATAAAGATCATACGACAAACCAATTTATCATTCGTAATTGTTAATATAACATACCTTCGACAACATACCTTTCTTCCTTTTCCTCAAAATATTCTTATCATCATCACTTCTTTCGCATCTCGATTTCCTCTTCAATAACGCCCCCTCCAATTCTCCAATCGCTCAGCCAACTTTCCCAAAACGATTTCCAAGACTGATTAAAGACCAAGAAATCTCGTTGGTTCGAAGAATTCGAAAGGAACGGAGGAAAAAACGTAGAAAGGCGATTTACAATTCGATCTACAATTTATAAAGATCATTCGTAATTGTTTATATAATATACCTTTGATAAAAGTTAACAAAAATTCGTCAAATATGAAAAATATCATTCCATGGAACTACGATCCTTAGAAATTTCCTTCGATTCTTCTCTTCATCTTTTTCTTCCTTTTCCTCAAACTTCTTTTGCATCTCGATTTCTTCTTCAATAATATGAAAAATATCGTTCCAAGGAACTATAATCCTTAAAAATTCCCTTCTCTTCATCCCTTTCTTCCTTTTCCTCAAAATATCCTTATCATCATCGTTACCTTATTATCATCATCATTTCTTTCTCGATTTCCTCTTCAATAACGCCCCCTCCAATTCTTCAGTCGCTCAGCCAAGACGCTGATTAAAGAAAACCTCATTGGTTCGAAAAATTCGAAACGAACGGTGGAAAAAGCGTAGAAAGGCGATTTACAATTCGATCTACAATTCATAAAGATCGACAAATAAATTTATCATTCGTAATTGTTAATAACATACCTTCGACAAAATTTAACAAAAATTCGTCAAATACGAAAAATATCGTTCCAAGGAACTATAATCCTTAAAAATTCCCTTCTCTTCATCCCTTTCTTCCTTTTCCTCAAAATATCTTTATCATCATTTCTTTCTCGATTTCCTCTTCAATAACGCCCCCTCCAATTCTCCAGTCGCTCAGCCAAGACGCTGATTAAAGAAAACCCCGTTGGTTCGAACAAGAATTCGAAACGAACGGTGGAAAAAGCGACAGAAAGGCGACACCACCTAAAATCCAAAACCTTGTGTGTTAAACGGCGAAGGCGGCGAGCTCGAGCTCCGGTTCTCCCTAAACCGGAAGTCGTCGGGATCTCCCTCCCCCTCCCCTCTTACAGTCACTATATAAGTCTATGCGGAATGGAGCGCGGAAGTCCGCAAAGAGGGCTGATTGCAATCAGCCGCGGATTTTCCCGTGGTTTCGCCAGGGGCGAGGCTCGGTGTTGCGCGCTCGCGCGCGCACAAGTTTCGATAACGAGTTTCAGAGTCGATGGTACTCGGATCTCGCCCGAGCCGTGAATGCCGGCCATGAAGGCCAGCCTCGGAAACGGGACGCGGAAAGAGATATTTGAAGGAGAGACGGCGAAAGATAGATGGATGGATAGAGAGAAAGAGAAAGACGAAATGCGAAGTTGATCGTTTTATATACGTATAGGTACATATATATATATATACGTATGCACACGCATATATGTATATATATATATATGCAGCGGACTCTTGAACTTCTGGGGACAAATAGAGACCAAACGAGCTGCCGGTACATGCGTGTGGTATATATGTATGTATGGTGCATGTGTGTGTATGTGTGCGATCCGCCACCCTGCGGTACCATCCACTTACCGGCCACTCGAAGTCTACGTACGAAGTCGTGCTCTGTAGGTAGCCCACGATGGCTGCACGGGGAGACTAACGAATCATTATGCGAGAGCTGTGTGAATCTTACGTGCCCTCGCGCCGCCACGAAAGCGATATCGCGCGAGGAAAGGTCGGAGGAAGTGGAGCATGGTCGCGTTGCACGAGCGTAGTGGTAAGAAGCATTTTTGCACTGGGCAAAAGATTCCTTTGAATATTATTGGTAATTGCCTATTGTTCCTTCTCGTTCGACTTTTTTTTCTCCTTTTCTCTTTCTCCCTTTGACGAAATGCTCGACGACAATTTTTCGAGAATAACGCAGAATCTTTCGTATATCGCTTTTTTTTTTTTGAAGAATCACTCAAACTCGGCTTACGTCCCACTGAAACAAAATTAATAACTCTTTCTCCTGTTTCACTCGGTCGAACCAGCAACTTCAGATTCAGATGGCGTTCGGTGCGTTCTCATAAGATAATTACTCATAAGATAAGGAAGCGATATTCTTAAAAAATCAAACGTAAATAAATATTGTCGTTCAATTATTGCAACAATCCCAATAGTGATCGAGAATTGTTAGAGAGCAAAGGATTAACAATATTTTTAATAGTTACTTGCTTCTTTTATCAAACGAACAATTTCGTATCAAAATTTCGCGAATTATATCGAGAAGGAAGTTTCATATCACGAGTTTTATTTGTGAAATCCTTTTTTTATATACGGATGTTTTGTTAACCGAGAAGCACGAGGAAAAGAAATATAAAAATCCGCGACGGAATGTTGGAAAATGTTGGGAAAAAGGCTGGAAAGTTCGATCAACTTGAAAATGAATAAATCTGTTTCGCAAGGCAAGATAATTTTAAAAGCCAAACTCGAACGGCTTTTCAAAGGCAGCGAGGATCCGCGAAAACATTACGGGGTTACGATCGAGGTAATCGAGTTAAATGAGAAAGACAGACGGGGATTTTTCATCGCGAGAAAAGGCTATTGCGGATTCGACGGTCCTCGAGGAAAATTCTTTGGGACGCGATCGAGAATCGATACTGAATTAACGAGTCGAACGACGTAACGAACGAACGGGGGAAGGAGATATATATATATACCGATCCGCGCTCTCCAAGATACTCGAGCCTCGAGTTCGACGCGAGCACACTTTCGAGAGCTTGCAAAGGATCGAGAGATGCCGAAAAAAAAGAAGAAGAAAAAAGAAAAAAGGAGGAGGAGGAGGAGGAGGAGGAGGAAGTAAGGAGAGAAAAGAGAGAAAAAAGAATTTTCCGCCTATCGTTTGCCCGATCGACGGGCCAAAGTGGCGCATCGACCGTTTCCGGGAGAACGTCACG